CTAGGAGTCACACCTCTGGGCATGTGTGTGAGAGTATTTCCAGACAGGATTAATGGAGGAGGAAAGATCCTGCCCAAATGTGGGTGGCACCATTCACGGGATGGGGGACCAGACAATAAAAGAAGGAAAAAGAGAGCTGAGCACCAACACCCATCAATCTCTCTGCTCTGGCCCACAGTGGTATGAGGAAAGTTGGCTGGGTGACACTTATACCTTGGACTGAACTGGTTCCAGCTACCACGCCTATCCCTTTGAGCCCCAGGCTAACACACATCCTCCCCAAGTTAAGTTGCTCTGTCTGCGATTTTGTTACAGCAGCAAGAGAAGTAACAAATACGGAATTGCTGCCCATTGTGGGAGAACAAATTAAGGAACGTATCTATTTGCCCTCTCTGTATCAGGGGTAAGATGCACTCTTTATTTGAACTGAGTTGGTCTCTATCTTAAATAATTCATGTTTGGTTAGGAAACATGATTTCTAATGGGAGCCTCAAAGACAGCAGAGTCAATATTAGACTGGGCCAGGGAGAAGAGGACATGAGAGGAGCAGCCGGGGCCAAGTCCTTTTAATAACTGATCTGACTTCCAACCCCATCTCCCCCCTTCTGATTCTCCTTCCCCAGCTTTACTCTTCCTTTCCCATGATATTTATTACCATGGGGCATTCTAATGATATAGTTTACTTGCTGAATCTGATTGTCATTTGTCAGCTGCCTTGTACCCTGCTAAATGCAAGCTTCACCAGGCCAGGGATGGCTTTAGCTTCCACTTACTGAGGAATCTTGAACATCTAGAAACAAAAGGCATTCAGGAAACATTTCTTGATTAAACTCGTGGTCTCCACTTTCTCTTTGGTTCCTCCCAGGCTTTACTACCCGAGTCTTCTGGCATTTGGAAAGATCAAGTGCAATGGCGCCCTACAGACCCTGAGCTCTTGCATGTAGTAAGAGTGTGGGTGACGTCATGCATACCCGTGTGCATTGCTTTAATATGGATGGAGCGGCACAGTTTTTTGTCAGATGTTACTCTCCCACATGGAGGATTCCTCCTACTGCTCCAAAGCTTTGTGTGTGTGTGTGTGTGTGTGTGTGTGTGTGTGTGTGTGTGTCCTTGCAATGTCTATCTAAGCTGAGCTGCTGCAGAGAAGGCTACAAGCATGTGAAAACGGGGTACCTAAGCATAACTGGCCCATGGCCTGGTGGGACTCTCTGAGTCTCAGCTTCAAGGTGGGCTGCTGACAAAGCCATCAGGATCAGTTACCTTCTCAGCCTCAGGCACCACTTGGATCTTGGTTCCAGTGGGGGATGGCCCATTTTCCTAAAATAGTTGATGTGTCATATTGGACTCCTGACTGGAAGTAAGGCCTTTTGGGAGCTGAACAATTCTGAGACACCATTTATTTAGTCATCACTTCACATTCTACGCATGAAGAAACTGGGGCCCAGAGAGGTTGAGTAACCGTGTCAGGGTCACACAGCTGAATTTAAGTCTGAGGTCCTATCCTCATAGATAGCAAGACTTCCTGAGTTGATCTGTGTCTGGAAAGATCTCTGTTTTGATATGGGCTGAGTCAAACATAGCCCTTGGCAGCAGGCTGGATTGCTGAGGAAACTCAAGTGGACCACAACCAGGGTTATAGCTTCCTTGTCTGGGATGTTTGGCTTCATAGGCTTAATTCGTTCCCCACCTTCCCCTCATTCTCTGGCTCCTGCCTCCTCTGCCTCCCAGGGTAGCGAAAGCTCTGCTCAGAGTTGCTTCTAGTCTGATTGCTTCTGAGTGCTGGAAACACAACACTAATTAATGTGTCTATGACTCTAGGCTTGGCTGCTGGGCTGGTTCCCATGCCCTCCCCGGAGCCAGGCAGGCTTGGAGAGCTGGCCCCCGGCTTCTTTGAGCACACTGCTGGCAGATGCATATTTTAACAGTGCACATCTGCTGGCTATATAATCTCTTGTATTTGCCCTCCTCACTTGGTGCTTTGATGGAAGACCTCCTGGGGCCTCCCTGTGTTCCAGCCAGAGTGTTTGCTTTGCGATTTTGCCGGAATACCATCTGATTCTGCCCTCACATCTTCTGCAGGTTCTAATCAAGCTCTTACTTTATTTAATTAAAAATCTATCTCGGGCAAATACAGAGTAAATTAGGAAGCTCTCCTATTCCTGGAACACAGAGAAGGCCGCTCTCCTTGGGGAGCTGGCCCAGACACTTTCCGGGGCTGAGATGTCACAGCATAGCAGGTGGAGGGTCTCGGTTGGTTGGGAAGGGAAGTAGCTTTAATGACCTTTAGAGTCCTTTTTTAAACAGCTATTGTATCTGTCTCATCTCTAGACCAGGAGCCTTTTCTAGTGACCATCTTGGCTCCAGTTAAGGGCAGTAGGAGGGGATTTAGATCTGTAGAAACCTGTAGCCAGGTGGAGGGAGTCCTGCTAGTGCAGGAGCCTAGAGGTGATATGCAAGACTGGGAGAGGCCCTCGGGCTCCCTGGGGTGGGGAAATGGGAATTCTTCACCCACAGAAAATAGCCAAGGCCAGCAATGTGGAGCTGCAAGGCATCCAGGAGGCCTATGGGCAGAGCCTGGCAGCCTCTTCTTGCCCAAATCCAGTTTGCTTAGGAGAATGGCTGAGATAGGAGATGCCAGCTTAAGCTTCCTTTCCGTCTGCAGGAATTCTCTCAGAGCACTCTGTAACCAGTCAATCTTCCAGCTAACCTCTAGGCTTGAATAAACACTTCACACACACAAACCCAGTCCTGAGCCCCAGGCACAATGCCAGGCCAAAGTCATGACAGATGCAGAGAGGAATGGATGTCTTTTAGAGGTGACCCCAAAACAAATTTGGGTCTGCCCAGATTGAATCCTGAGGCCCTGTTCTGAGAAGCCTGGCTTTTAACCAGGTGGGCAGATGACATTCTACTGGCATTTGGGACCAGAAGACTGGGCAAAGAGCATCGGTCTGGAGCTGGAAATGTGGAGTTGATTTGAAATATTAATTAAGCTGTGTGACCTCTTGGGCATGCCTTTGCCTCTCTGAGTCTCTCCACGAGCTTATCAGTAAAGCACATGGAATAATCTGGAATTTCAATGCAGCATACTTTGTTGATTAACTGCGATAGTAGGGAGCAAGGAGGCTTAAGTGGCTGAGTTTGGCTTGGCAGGTGAGTCTGCTCTACCTTGAGGACAAGGTGGTGTCCTGTTTTAGCTCCTGGGTGGTGTTAGAGGAATGGACGATGCTTAGGTCCTCTCTTTCCAGCATTCTCTGGCTGCCTCATTAAGGGGTATGAGGGAGCAGGGGAAGGTTCCTTGGGGACAGGGACTGAGTGGCCTCTGAACGTAGACATCCTACAGCTTCACTTGGCAGATATGTTCCGACAGTTTGCAGTCAGTGTCTGAATCAGGAGACATATCTGGCCCCAAGTCTTCCCCTACAATAACTTGCAGACCCCTTCTCAATTTAGCCCCATCTCAAGGGGAAAAAGAAAAGGGCTACTGTCCTCTAATGCACACCCTGCCTGGCACCACCCCCAGGCCATCTATCCCACTCTTTTCCTGCCAGGCAGAGCAGGCTCCCAGGTTGGAGGTGGGTGAGGTTCCGAAGCTCCCACTCCCAGCCTCAGCCTAGGCTGAGCTGCTAACTGGTCCTCTGTGGCCTGTCTGCTGCTGCACTTGGAATCATGCACCTCTCGTGTTCGGCTGTGTAGATCTGAAGATAACCTGACACGCTCTTAAATATTTCATCTCAGAGCACGAGCAGTGTCCCCGCTGCTGACCCTGTCATCTGAGCTCCACAGCAGCTGCCAGGAGTCTGCCAAGGCCAGGCTGGGGCTTCCCTCTCCTGCCTGCCCAGGAGTCGTGTACATTGCCTGGCAGAGACGAAACCTTATGGGGCTAGGGAGGTGGAACAAAGAGTTCTGGCAGGGCATGCTGGTCTAGGCCTTCTGCTTACCCTGAGCCTCAGTTTCTCACCTGGGGTAGCAATCCCTGATCCAGTCTGGAGGAGCCTTGAGAGCTGCTGGGAGTGACTTTGCAACTGTGAATGATTAGCACTTATGTGCAAACTGTTTCCTCAAGGTTCCCTTCTCTGGAAAACCTGGCCAGAGGAAGGAGGGGACAGGGCTGAACTCTTAATCAAAACTGGGGATCTTGGCCAGGTAGGTGGTGGTGGCCCCAACGCTCCAGAGTCAGAGGCAGGTGAATCTCTGTGAGTTCGAAGCCAGCCTGGTCTACAGAGTGAGTTCCAGGACAGCCTCCAAAGCAATACAGAGAAGCCCTGTCTCAAAAAACCAAAAACCAAACCAAACCAAACCAAAACAGGGGATCTTAAGGAGTCACTGAGCAAACATCACAACTTCAGGCAGGTCTGTCCCATTGAGGGTGTGGGGACTTCTTCAGAAGGGCTGTCCCAGGGACATTCGAAGCAAAGACCAAGGGGGAAAATGGTTAGAATAAGGCCCTGAGATGAAATCCCATTGGAATAATGGGAGAGAACCAGGGTTCCAAGGGAACAGAGTGTGGGAAAGGTCTGGAACAAAGGTCTCTGGTGATCCTTATGGACATTGAAGTCATGGAGGACCAAACTTGAGGCTCATCCTTAAGAGAGGTCAGGGCTTGTGGAGCTTTTCTGGCCCCTTTGGAGGTCAATTTTGGAAGAAAGGTTGCTCAGACTGTGCCACATTTTCTTCTGAGCTTGAGTTGCTGCCAAGGGCCTGGCCTTATTTGCACAGCTGAGCGGAAGCCTCATCTGCTCGCCAGTGTGCCGTCAAACACACTGGGTAGGACAGTGATAGGTGGTGGTAATATGATTTCCTTAGGTGGAGGTATTTTTATGTCCCCTTTGGATGGGAAGAAAGAGGAGAGGGCAGAAGTGCAGAGGGCCAGATGGGATGATACCCAATGGAGAGCCTCCCTCCACTAGCTTTGTCAGAAGGATCCTCCAGAAGCCGAACCCTCAGAGTTTCCTAGAGCTCGTATGGCATCCCTGTATGTCTGTGTGCAGGTGACTTACCCAGGACTGTGAGGCGTGCAGGTCGTGACCGGATGGCAGCCTGGATGGCCTGGCACTCATATACAGCATCGTCTTGCAGCTCTGCCCTCAGGATCTTCAAGTGATGCTCTCCTGACAGGTGGTTCCCCACCACCAGGTACTGGGGGTAGCCTGAGGAGAAATCAGGAAGGTATGAGAGGTCAAAATAGTCTTGTTGCCAGTTTCCAAGGCCTATCTGGAGATGTTGTGACCCCCTTAGATAGAATGGTTCCAAAACTGTCTTGCAAAAGTAAATTCGTATCCAGTGAACAGAGGGTTCAGGTAGAGGTCTTCCTGGCTGACTTCCTCCCCTTTACCAGAGAAAGATCTTTCTGGAAGATGGGCTAGGGGTGTGATACCTGTCCTGGACAGAGCTGACCTCAGGTGGCCTTCTGGTGACTAATACACAAGAAACTTTACTTACATGACAGGATTGCATGCAGGACCACTCATCCCCAGCAACCCCAAGTTCTCATCTTTATTTCTTTAATATCTTTCTCCTTTTATTTATTTGTTTCTTTGTTTCTCTTTTTTTTTTTGAGACAGGGTTTCTCTGTATAGCTTTGGCACCTATCCTGGCACTCGCTCTGGAGACCAGGCTGGCCTTGAACTCACAGAGATCTGCCTGCCTCTGCCTCCCGAGTGCTGGGAATAAAGGCATGCGCCACCAACGCCTGGCTATTTGTTTGTTTCTTTATACGTGTGTGAACACATATATGCCACCCACATGGATGTCTGAGGACAACTTGTGGGAGTCAGTTAGTCTCTCTATCATGTTGGTCCCAAGGATTGAACTCAGGTCACCAGGCCTAGCAGGCACCTTTGCCTGTTGAGCCATTTCATTGGCTCTCTTGTTCTTATAGCTCAATGTGCTATCAGAGCCCCAGCCTGCAGGCTCTTATTGAGTCTCTTACTTTATGAATGACTCCCACGCCTCCCCCGTTCATCTGTGTATTGTTAATTTATTTCACTGGCTAAAATGATTGGGCTTTCAGAGGGAAAAGAGAGCAGTAACACTGCCCTTCCTAGCCCAAGGGGAGCTAGGGTGGTGGGGTGGGCACTGGTGACAAAGAGGCACAGCAGTGGCAGCCCTCTGGCACTTGCTTAGGTCTTTGATCTCAGTGTAAAGGAGCACAAAAGCAAGTTTCCAGGATGTTGGTGTGTGTGTGTGTGTGTGTGTGTGTGTGTGTGTGTGTGTGGTTAGTTCTAAGCTCTAAAGAAAATGAGAAATGCCAATGTTAGAGACAAAAGTATAGGGAAGTGTAGGAAATGCTGAGTGGGCAGATCTGGCTATGGGGTGTTGCTCTGGGAAGCCCTATCCTTATTCAGCTAAGGAGATGCTAAGAGGGAGAGGGGGTAAGGGAGAGGGAGGGAAAGAGGAGGGGGAGAAGGAAAGAAAGACTCTGAGATTCACAAAGAGTGGACCAAGCAAGAGAGAAACAGAATGAAAAAGGAAGAAGGGATTTACTTGGAAAGGATCAAGGAGAGAAGTTTTGTCCCAGGAAGCACAGGAAATGGGAACCCAGCCTCACCCTTCTGATGCCTATGGAACGCTGGGCACTGTGCCCTGTGAACCTTAGTGGCTCATTCCCGGGCATTCCTCCCTCCCATCCCCAAGCCCTTGGGCCTGATTAAGCACTTAGGAGGCACTCAGGACACTTAGGAATTTGGGGCCTCAGTATACACACACTGGTGATGAATAATAGATAAAGAAAAGTTTGGAGACCATGAATCATTCAGCAGTTGCTGTGGCCGGCGAACTGAATGCAAACATTGACTGCAGCCACAGCCATAGGCTGGTCCTTGCTCTCTCAGGGGTCTTGGTCTGGAAGCCTCTTAGTTTGTCCTATCAGGACGTTATCGTTCTACCCCTTCACCCGAGTTCTGCTTCCCACACATGCTTTGCACCATGGGGTTCTTCAGGAGCTCCTTCTTTGGACTTTGCCCTGGTTCCCATCTTTCCTCAGACACTACTCTGGTTAAGCTAAGGGTGGTTGGGCAGGGCTCCCTGGGGGTGACTGTACCAGGATCCATCAGTGCCTGCACCTGCATGGTGGGGTGGGTAGACATGGTCTCCCCAAACACCAATAAGCAGCTTCTGTGAGCTCTTATACAACTGAGACAATATTGTCCTCATCATGACACTGAAGGACCTTGATCTCACAGCTGCTCAGGCCTGATCAGAAATTCTGCCCAAAGATCAGCTGCACCCAGGGAGGGCAGGTCCACCCTCCCTCACTCACCTTCCTGCCTTCTGATGGGCAAAGGCAGTAAGCCCATGTGGGTGAAGCTGATGCCTCTATGCTGCTGGCTACCTGCCCTCCAGCCCACCCCTCCCTGCTGTTCTGCAATTAGGTCTGTCCCTTGCAGGCATCTTGGATGGAACTGGTGTTTTTTGTTGTCTTGCAAGCCATCAGCAGCAGGATTACACTCTCCTGAGCTGTGGAAAACATCAGTGATGGGTTTGTTTGTATTTGCTTAATTAGGCAGTGAGCTGCGATGCTATCTTAAGGATTGGCAGCATCTTTGGAAAACATACACAGAAGCAGAGCTTCTGAGGAATTTCTAGTTCCTTCCATGGTATCAGAGATTCAGAGGTTCTAGTCATGTCTTATAGGTTCAGACTCCAGTTTATCTCTTCCTTGCTCTGTTCCCCTGGTGCTTTGTCTTTGTGTCTCAGCTTCCTTACCAGTAAGTTGGGAAAAATGCTAGCACCTCATGGGTGAAGATTAAAACAGGATAACCTATATAAAATGCCTATTGCATAATGAGTATTTGACATAGGGTCCTACTCTATAGCTAAGGCTGGCTTTGAATTACGTCAGTTCTACACTAACTCCTCAAGTGTTGAAATTACAGCTATCAGCTATCAGTGTCCATCCCTATCCTCTACACATGCTAATTTAAATACAATTGGCAGGGCTAAGGAGAGGGCTCAGTGGGTAAAGTGTTTGCTGTGCAAGAATGAGGATCCAAGTTTGGGTTCTTGGCAACCCAAAATCTGGACATGACAGTATTGGAGGTAAGGGGAAGAGACCAGTAGATCTCAGGGGCTTACTGTTCAGCCAGTCTAGCCAACCTGTGAGCTCCAGGTTCAGTGAGAGAACCTGTCTCAACAAATAGGTAGAGACTGACTGAAGAAGACAACCAACATTGACCTCTGGCTTCTTTTATAAACACACATGTGGTGGTTTGAATGAAATGACTCCCATAGCTCATAGAGAGTGGACTGTTAGGAGGTGTAGCTTTGTTGGAGTAGGTATGGCTTTGTTGGAAGAAGTGTGCCACTAGGGGTAGGCTTTGAGGTTTCAAATGCTCAAGCCAGGCCAGTGTCACTCTCTCTTCCTGCTGCCTGAAGATCCAGATGTAGGACTCTAAGCTACTTCTCCAGTGCAATGTCTGTCTGTATGCCACTCTGTGCCCCGCCCCACCCCAATCCATCATGATGATAATGGACTAAACTTCTGAACTGTAAGCCATCCCCAATAAAATACTTTGTTTTATAAGAGTTGCTGTGGTCATGGTGCCTCTTTACAGCAATAGAAACCACAAGACAATGTGGATGGACACACTCATATGTACACACACACACACACACACACACACACACACACACACACACACACGGTGTCAGGGAGTTAGAGTGAACGTGCCCATCTTGGAAGGGAGCAGACAGAGATTCATGGGTTGAGATTGGTAATATAATTGAATCAATTTTTTTCCTCGACTGTTACTCTGTTTATCTTTCAAATAAAGGCAGTGGTGGTGGAATCTATGTCTCCCTCTTCATGAGACCTCTGAGAAGTACCAGTCTTCTTTGGAGAAAAATGTTCTATCTGCACCTGAGGATGTGTTGACAACATTTTCTTCCTGGTCTCACAGTCTTGGTGACCAGAAAGACACTACAGTGTCAGCGAGAGACTCCTGTCCAGTGCCATGTCTAGGGTGACATGGTTGAAACGGCAGAGGAGAGAGCTACAGCAGCAGGAAGTCCTGTGACACTGGCCCTCTGTTTCCCTGCCTTAAGCACTCAGCAGATCTTTGCTGAATTCAGTTGAATTCTCTTCAGTCCCTTCTGGACCAGGCAAGCAAGCAGTGTTTATGGTCCTGTGAGGACCTGTTATTATTGCTAGGATGGTATTTTGGGGCTGATGATTAAATACAGGCCTGAGTTTATGAGGAGAGAGTCCAGGGCCTGTATTCCTTAGTGACTGGGCCAGTCTGGAGAGGAAGCCAACCCAGGCCATTGGATCAACCTGTCTTTAGCAGCCAGCAGACCCAGATCCTAGAGAACTAGGGATGGAGCTTCAGATCAGAGATGCAATTATCTATGCCTTGATGACCATTCTATGACTGGGGACTTCCACTTGGCCACTGACCTAATAAGACATTGCCCATGACCAAAGGCTGATGATAGTCATTGACCAGGAAGCCCAGATGGTCCACGCTCAGAGCTGCCCAGAGCATAAGCAATTCTCATTTGGGAAGGTCATATCATTCGCCCATCTTTCTAGGGTACCAAAGCTGAGCATCTCTGAAAGTTGGCTGGTTCCCATAACACTTAAACTTTATGGCAGCGCAGTGTGTTTTGTAGATATTCTTGGGTATTTTATCTATGCTCAGCTGGGCTGCAACATTAGGCTCTGTGACTGCTATTGACCATTGCTATAATGTTTCAATATACATTTTTGGCAAGGCATAACTCACATTTTAAAATATTAATTTCCCAGCTCCAGTGTTTCTGAGCGTGCTTCGATTTTTTATTTTCCTGCAGCTGTATAGCATGAGCGAGGTGAAGCTGCTTACCAGTTGAATGCATATTTCTCATCCATCCTCCATCCCCAGCCATTCCCAGATGGCCGGGGAGTGGCACCCAGATCTGTCCTTCTGAATTTCATCATGCATATCAGCCCAGCAGTCAGCCCCCTTCTTACCCATCCCAGAGCAGGGTAATGACAGAAGAGGCAAGTGACATGAGGATGGCTGCTTTCTTTATGCCCTGGGGAAAGTGTAGGTTGGCAAGGTGTTTGGATGAGCTTCTGAGGTAGCCATGCAAAATAGTTACCAAATGACATGGCCTGGCACCAACAACAGAGTTGATGTGCCAGTCAGCAGCAGCTGTAGGAGGCCCCCATGGTGCAGCTTGCCTGGGTGGCTGAACAAGGCTGGCATTTAGTGTAAACCCTTCCTGTCTTTTCTTCCCATCATGAGATGAATCCTAGGAGAAGCAGGTTTTCTTGTGAGTTTTCAGTTCATTGGCTGTCTCCTTGGGTGGGGAGCTGGATCATGCCTTGATAAATGAGGATTCATATTGGGCCAAGAAACAGGAGCACATGATGTTTGGAAATCGGACTTCATGGGAATTACATTGGCTTTGGAATGGATTCTGTGCTAGGTTTAGGACTGACCGTAAAATGGGGATCATAGCCAGAGGCCCCTGGGCTCCTAGGGATCTAGGTCCAGGCCCTGCCTGTCCGGAAAGTTGCAGAGATGGCTGGGGATTTGAGCCCAGAATGACATTGGAGATGTAATATGGGAGTGCCATAGTGAGCAGATGGGGAAAGGCAGTGTAGGCACTGGGCCACTGTGTAAGAGTGGGGGAGTCTGGAAGTACTCACTTGAGAGGTCTCTTCCTACACCCAGAGCCAAGCCATCTTTGATCCACAGGACGAAGCCATCATATTCCGGGATGGCACACAGCAGCGTCACTGGCTGTCCTGACACCACCACTTGGTCCTGGGGTTGCTGGCTGAAGGAGTAGACTTGGCCTGGGGAGGGAGAAGCACAGTGGTCAGTCAGTGTGGGCAGCAGTACCCAGGATAGCTCACTTCACACTCTAGAAGCAGAGCTAGGCTGTCCCCAGGCCTCCAGCCCTGTTCTCATTTTCAGAGGCTGGCTCTGGATTCCAGACTCCAGCCCCTCCCTTGTGCAACCCTGATGCTGACTTTGGAGATGAAGCTCAGCCACCATGGGACATGTACTTCTCTTCTCCTTGTGGGACTCCCACTTCACTCCACTTGCTCAGGAGTGATTATGGATCTAGTTCAACCTGGCCATCCAGGCAATCTGAGTGGCTAGTAGGTCCTTGGCAGGAACTGGTGGCCATGGCCACGTCTATGCACACCCTTGTTACTCTAGCCTTTTCTGCAGTTGACTCTTCCAGTCTCCCCCTTGGAAACCACTTGGGAGTCTGTGCCTCTTATCCATACCTCAAAGCAAGATGCCACAACCATTGAAGCTATTGGCTCATATTTTATTAAACAAATAGTTAGCTGCACATGTGAGATGCCAGGCTCTGTGCTGAGATTTTAAACATCGGCTCATGGATTCTTTCATTCTGCTAACAGCCTAACCACAGTAGGCACCATCTCTACATGGAGATGGGGAGGCTGGCGTAGGTAGGGGACAAAGGAGAGCAGCGCTGAGCTGATATAGTACTTCCAATGCTGGGTGTGCTGCCTGGGTGCACTATGCTAACAGTACCCCTCAGAGCATCAGCAGACAGCTCTGCAGGACTAGGAAGTGAGGCATTTGTCAATGGCTGTCTGTGACAGGTTGGCGGCTGTGAACCTGCTGCATTCTGGCTCTAAGGGTTCTGACCTGCTGAGCTAAGCTTCATGCAGCTCCCAAGCCTCAGCTTGGGGACAGTCACTGAAGAAGGGAGGTAACATGGTCTGTGTTTCTGTGAGGCCACAACTGAGTGGACAGCGGGACACAGACACTGACGATCTGTGATGACTGCAGTCAGTGCTTCCCATACTCCCTTCTCCTAGAGACAATCTAATGTTCCAGGGCAGAAAAAACTCACCATTTTATAACAAAGGAACCAGGACCAGAGAGGTACAGCAATTTACTCAGGGTGACATAGACAATGAGTGGCAGAGCTGAGGCTGGCATGGGGTCTACTTGAGTTTTGAGCCCCTCAGTTTTCCCCATCCCTATCCCCAAAGAGACTGATATTCAATGGAGGGAAAGGAGCCTGGGAGTCCGCTGCTACCTCCTTTCCACAGCACCACGGATGACCTGGACTTGGATTGCTGCCCCAAACAGGGCCAAGTATGGGTATAGGGAGAGATGAGGTGCAGGGGAGGGCGCGGAGCCCCCATAGCAGCAGAGAGTGGGGATAACAGGAAGGTCTAGAGTTGACAGTCTGATGGGATCTTGGCAACCTCTCTGAGGAGTTTTATTAAAAATCAAATTGGCCTGGAATTGTGGGAGTAACACTTTTTTATTCTGATTTGAGCTTTACAAATTATATTACATAGGATATTTTAATCAGCTGTGGGTAGTGGGTTTTTCTCTTACTCAGTCTCTTCAAGCTTTCCGTTGTAATTAGGCTGTTTCTGGCACCGAAAGAGGGGAAATATGAGACAGAAGAGGGAGAGGACTGAAGGTAGGAGCTGTAAAGTAAGAGTCCAGAGAGGGAAGGTGGGAGACGGAGGGTGAGGAGAGGAGATGGGAAAAGGAGGGAGAACAGGAGAAGAGGAGAAGGAGGGAGAAGGAAAGAGAAGGAGGAAGAGGACATGGAAGGATGGAGAGTGGGGAGGAGGGAGATGGAGGAAGGGAGGAGGACGGGGAGCGGAGGAGAGGAGGAGGAGAAGTAGGAAGAGGTGGGGAGAGGAAGAAGAGGAGGAGGAAATGAGGGAGTACACCTTTCCTAGGCTTCTCCCCCTTCTCTAATCTTTAATCCTAGATTTTTTTTCAAGGATAGTGTCAACGCAGCAGCAGCAGCAGCCAAAGATTGTGTGATCAGTGAGAATTATCAGGTTGTCAGCCAGGGGCTAAAGGGATTGTAACTAGAAAGCACTAAAGAAAATGGGGCCCGGGCTTCCAAATGTCCCATATTAGGATCTTCAGCAGGAGGTGACTATCTACCACACCCCATCCTTTTTATGCTTGGTGGAAGGAACAGGAGATGGTTGAAGATGCTCGGGGCATCCATCCTTGGGGCAAGGGTGAGTCCTGGATGGTCATCATGGAAATCAGGTCTGATGGACGGTAGGGGACACTGGGAGGAGGGGTCAGTGGCAACACTAGGGAAGTCAACTAGGGGTAATCATAAGGCTGAGATAGAAGGTTTCTCAGAACTAGGAGTTGAAGCATATACAAGATCCTCTTTATAACACATGGGGGGCAAAGCAGGAGAGGCCAGAGACCTGCTCAGGTGCAGTTCTGATGGTGGCTGCGTGGGGCTTTAGTCACCTACTGTTTACATTTGGACCCAGTTAGGTTTTCTATGGAAAGCATGTTTCTAGGGAGAGAGGGCACCGGAGTCTCAAAATCATCCAAAGGATGTGATTTGCAAGTTATTTTGGGGATCGGAGTAGGAGCTGAGTACCCCCAACCAACAGTCTTTCTTTTTTGATCCAATGTTAATACTTTTACATTATGTTCAAGCCACTAAAACTACTTTGTCTCTCAGTGCCAGGTGAGGAATAGGGGGCCTCCCAAACAGCATAGGCTATCACCATTGCTCTTAGTTCCCCACTGTAACTAGATAGTAAAACTAGATATTATGAAGATACAACACACTTAGGTTGTAGAGATCAAGCCAGAGCTGAACTGAGAACTTTGTTTCCAGTGGCTACATTTTGGAATGCTAGAAGGTGCTAGTCAGGTTGCAGGAGAAAAGGCATTAATGGAATTATCTAGATGTGAGCCCTGAATGGTGCAGTTATTGGCTTGTCAGGCAAGATGTGTCCGTTGGTACAACAGTGGAATGATGGTTATGGGACAACCAACTGCCTTCTGATTGGATTTAAGGCCCTCTCCAAAGAAGGAAAATGTATCTGATACTGTAAACCTGGTCAAAAGCCCATGGCAACTGAGGTCAGAGGCTCCAGGAAGGGAATTATTTAAATGGACAAGCTGCCAAGCTGCCTTCTAAATTTTTATGGCTGTACCCACAGATTTCAGCCTCACTTTCAATGTTTGTCAGAGAAGCTTCTTTTGTACACTAGTAGGCAGCTAATATAAATTTATAACTGGCCTGAGTGTTGAGAATAAGCAACTGTTGAGTGTTCATCCAAAGACGAGATAGAGCTACATCACACATCCCAACTCTTCAAGGCTCATGGAATGGAAAGACTGAACAGAAACAATATTAGAGTTGAGGGTGGAGAGAAGAGCTGTGAAATGCTATCTTCTGGACCTGGCATGGCCATTGCACTCATAAGACATGTACAAGAGCAAGCCAATACCATCAGTTAATATTCCAGCACACAGCGCTGATGGGACTCAGGAGAGAGAGAGAGAGAGAGAGAGAGAGAGAGAGAGAGAGACATGGGACATGGCTCCCGGGGGGAGCCAGAGGGAAAAGTTGGGGGATAGATAGGATCAACATTACATATGTACATGAAATTGTACATGAAATTGTCAAATAATAAATAAAAGATATTAAAAATAAAGAGTGTTTTTTTTCTTTCAAAGCTGAAATGCTTTTAAGGATGGGTCTTAACCTTGGTGCATTAGAAGAGCAGCTAACAGTTGAGTGCTATAGTAGAGGAAGTGGAGGAAAACACATGCTCTTTCACCCCTGGGACAGCCCTTGAGGCCTTCCTGGCCAGGGCTCCTGGGAGCTCAAGGCATAGGTGGGGTCATTTCTAGAGAAACCCCCCTTCCCCACCTTGCTCCCTTTTTCCTTGGCCCCTTTCCTTTTCTACCCTAGGCACATTGACTTCCTTCTTTCTTTTTCATCCATTTTGACTCCCAGCCTCTGGGATAGTGCCACCTCTATTCAGGGAAGCTATTCTGTCCTTAGTCCCAGTAAACTCCCACATAGACACACCCAAAGTCTGCTTTACTAACATCTCACCACCTACTCAGTCCCTCGTGTGGTCACCAAGATCAACTGGTGCAGTCGGTTTCCCCAAATCTTATCGCACACTCACTATCTATCCAGTGCTGGAGAAACACAAATGAGACCCACAGCGTATCTCCTCAAGGACGGAAGCACAGCAGCCTCTCTGTCCCAGGGCCTGGCACAGCATGCGAACATCAAGTGTTCCTCTGTTAAATGCTTGTAGTTTGCAAGCTCTGGTTTGAGTTCTGTGTTCACTGTCAGAAAGTAGCTTTTGCATTATAAACTTCAGACTGGATAGATATTGTGCTGAACACACTACACAGTGGGAGAAAGGTAGGAGACAAAGTGGGGAGGGCCAGAGTCACAAGGGACCAGCTTCATAGGAGAGAAAACCACCGAGTTATTTATGTGAAACCCACTGCCTGGTGGACCTGTGGGGCTGAATGCACACATGGCTCTGTGATGTATGGCAGCTATCATAACCACATTTTACAGGTGAACTGAGTGCTATAGTGTGGTTCTTAGACATCTCCAGAAGGCCTAGCTTGTTGCTTTCATGAGGTGGTAGTGGCATCATGAGAGGTGGAGACTCATGGGAGGTCTTTAGGTCATTGGGGGTGTACTTATGTGTATGTGTGTGTGTGTTGTATGTGTGTCGTGTGTGTGTGTGTGTGTGTGTGTGTGTGTGTGTGTGTGTGTGTGTGTGTGTGTGAGCATGTGTGTGCACAGTTGCTTGTATTGTGGTGCATGTGTGGATGTCAGAGGATCACCGCTGATGTCAGAGTTCTCTTCTACCATGTTTGAGAGAGGATCCTCTTATTGTTCACACTGTGGACTCTAGACTAGCTGACATTTGAGCTTTCAGGCACTTTTCTGTCTTCTCCTCCTATCTTGCTATAGGAATGATGCAGATGTGTCCTACAGATCCTGTCTTCATAGGGACTTGAGGATTCGAACTCAGGTCTT